AATAATAATAACAACAGAAGCAGCAGCGTACTTGCAGGTATTATGCCAGACTAGTGATCTGGAGATCGTGGGTTCCAGTCCTACCCGAGAACAACTTGCGATTTTTTTCGCAATTATTTTAAAACGTACTGAATATTAAGTACATGTCCAGCAGGTAGAGTAAAATTTCTACTATAAATAATAAAAATAATAATAATAATAATAATAATAATAATAATAATAATAATAATAATAATAATAATAATAATAATAATAATGATAATGATAATTTATAGAAACTATTTTAAATGTAGTTCAAAATGTGGTTTCGAGTTTAAGTGCAAACTGTAGACACTTATATAAATAATATGAGTAGGCCTATGAATTTATTTGATAACATGGTTGAATTCGAAGTCGATCCCTATACTCATATACTTTGGACTTTCTTTTATTAAATCATTCTATTATCCATGATCATTAAAGCACAAACGTCGATGTAATGGTAGGCCTACAAACATAAAAATGGCGTCTAGAGATCAACGTCGGCGCTTTTATATATTATTTCTTTAACTTAAAAATGATAAATAATTTAATAAGATAATGTTCAATACACCCACACCCCCACCCCCACACACCCAGGCTGAGGTACCACACTCCTCTCACTTCTTGATGTTTTGACTTCTCTCTTCTATCAAAATGTTCAAAGTGTTTGGCTCCTCCTCGTTCGCGTTTTAACGAACTCTATTGGTTTATTATTTTATTAGTTATGAGACAATTTAATACTTATTGGTTCCTTGGTTAACACCTATTAAATCACCTTCCATTCCTCATGGTTCCGATCATTCATCAAGTTTAGGTGGACAGGATGCTTCCCTTATAATTCCACAAGAATGTGATTAAATTCGAGGGGGAACAACCTACAAAGATAGGCCTATAACAAGGTATTGCCCACTGTTGATTACAGTATAGGAAATGGAATACATCTTAGGTTAATGCTAGGAATTGCATCATTTTAAAATCAAAGGAAATTAAAAGGATAGAAAAATACATTGATTCAAATAATGAATTCAAAGGCTTAATAAACACAAAAAAAATACACACACACTACTATATATTTGGGAGCGTGAGAGCACACTTTAGTGGGCGCTTAATATTGGCACAATAAGGCCTATGCTTCATGTTTGATGGTCAACCGGCAGTGAGTTTAAAATGAATATTAATATGCCTGTAACAGATTGCGCCCTTCCTGGGTATGACATTAAACTCCATCAGGTCGACACCTGACTCAGGGTATGTCTTAGTGACTGAAAAAGCGAGAATGAATTACTTTGTTTTTAGGATGTGATTACATGCCCATTTTTAATGATTATGACTATTTTGGATAAATAATGTTTAAAGCAGTGGTGGATTGAAGGCCCCTCTTCCCAAAAATGTTTTAATGGGGGAAAAAGACAAATATAGGCTCCATATCCAAATTTTGACATTCCAGCATGTTTTGGCCATTATCTCTCAACATGACTTGCGACGAGTGACTGGTACTGGTTTGGCTTGTCTTTGCCACAATTGTACTTGTAACTTTTGACGACCCAATTGACAATGGATCCTTTTTTGGTAAGCCAGTCCCATCTCACTTTTCTTGTGTTTTTTTTTTTTTTTTTTTTTTTGCTTTTCATGAGAAAAATTTTGAAATGATGGTCAACTTAAAATTAATATAGAAATGAAATGACAGCGATAATTATGTTTTGCTGATATACATTCACTTAGGCTACACATCTATATGCCTATTGTTAATAATAAGTATTAGGTACGGTATGTAATGCTTACCATTAGGCTCCACATAAAATACAAGAATTAGTACACTAATCCGAAGCAATATTCGTGATTCTAATGTTGCTAGATTCGATGATTGTTTGGTGTACTTAATACCAGCCATTTTTAGGTAGACCGTATATAAACAAGCAAACACAGACTTTGAAATAAGCAGGGGTATAGACCACTTTCGTTGTTTGAACTGGTAAACAGGAATTATATATATAGACCATGTTCTTCGGTGTTTACCTTGGCCTGGTGGAGACGCTTGTGGCGCACTCGACTGATGACATATCCACAGAAAATTAGGCTACTTATGTCCGCTTTTTCAGGAGCGGAACTAGAGGGGGTAGGCGATGAGCGGACCCCCACCTCTCGGTTTTAGAGAGCCCTCATTTAGTAAAAAAAAAGTATACATGTTGGTAAAAGGGGCCACTAGGCAGGTGCATGGAAAATGCCCGACCAGTGGTCGGAGGCATTGAGCATTACTCCGAAAGAATTTAAAACAATATTACTTATCACAATTATTTAATCATGCTCTGGCAGGCTAGGTCTTCTATTTTATGGGTTTCTTTGGGTTAGAGACTTGATTGAGACATGCAACAACGGCATTGTTTGTTTTGTGTGCCCTTGTTGTCGACATTGGTACAGCGCCGGTGACTTTTTCCGGATGTAAATTTTTCTAATGTTATGGGCTAGTGTTCTGGGTGTGTTACGCATTTTACCAGAGGGAAAACACTTTTTTTGTTTTTGGAATAGCCCACCCCCAACCTAATTCCTTTAAAAATTCTTTAATGAAAGAAAATTATATAAAGAAAGAAATGAAAATTATATTTAATTAAATTAATGTCTGAGATTTTCATTTCAGGCCATCTAGAGGTGCTCTAATTATACATTTTCTTATTTCAGCCCCAACCATGATGATGATATTGACACCCTGTCTGTGAAAGTAATTTACTGGGTCCCTCTATTTCAAATACAGAAACCAGAGTGCATGCCCTCTTTTCTGGACACCCCCACCTGCAGCTGTTTGACTCCACCACCTCTGCTTTTACTGTTGTGCCAACTATATTCTGAAAATGTTGTTCCCCCTTTTGAACAATTATGGGTCTGCCCCTGATGCTCAAAATATGGCGTCTATTTTTTCTTTGTTAATGTAAATGAAGAGGCCGCTCGAAAGACAGTTAAATTACACAAATCATTAATGATGTTACTTGGCCCAGTATATACGACTGACATGCTTACCTGGATAAAATTAATAAGTTTATTCAGGTATAAAATAATAACTAAATGGACAACTAACTTAGGTAAATTCGCGTCAGGCTACGTAAAATTGCGTCAACTTAACGTTAACTTACCGTGCATTATTAATTGCATTTTTTGTTCTTTTTAAAGTTTTAAAGAAAATAGGTTTTAATTATTTGTATTTTCTATTTATAAAGACCGATCTGGATTGTTTTACATCTTTTGTGGGCTATCCTTGGTTCTGCTGTTTTTCACGTTTTTTGTTCTAGTATTTTAACGTTATCGAATCAACATTTTTCTCCTGATTGAATAGGCTTTTATATCTGTTATAATATTCTCTTGTTCTTGCATCTTTTAAGACTGTATTTTATCTTTAAGTATGTTTATTATTAGAACCAAATGAACTAATAATCAAAATCAATTCAAATCAGTGCAGCACATAATCCTATAAACTAACAGTGTCGACTATGCGACCTCATGTTCTCAACTTGCAGGCCTCTAAACTATCTGACTGTAGTAAAAATCGATTATTTCAGATACCTTAATTGCAATTTAACTTCAGCATCATCCTGAACTTATTTTAAATTTTGCTCTTAATAGCCAAAATAAATAAATAAATAAATACAAATTAAATAAACATCATAATACATCTATTGAAAAATATGAAGAGATACACATGAACATGCTAGCCATAATGGAACATGAACACACAGAATTAAAACTATGATATTTCGACTTCTACCACTAACATCCAGTAACAGTCATCAGTCAATTGTGATCTTGAAGACATGTAAGCCTGCTGGATTTCATCAGTCAGATCAATAAAATAAATCACGATTAACTATTAGGCCTGGCACAAAGGCGTTTTTGTTTGCCGTGCTTAGGCGTTTTTTTTTTTTTTTTTTTTTTGTATTATACAGGAAAAGCATTTACCCCTAAAATCACTTTCAATTAGGCCTATGCTTTGATAATTTATTTTGTTGTTACAATGAATGACGACTAGGCCTACCTGTTTACCATACAGAGACCTTATTTATTTATTTATTTATTTATTCATAAAAAAAAACATCTTAATTGTAGCAGTTCTTTAAAGAGAACTGCCCCCCCCCCCTCTACCTCGGGGTAGCCACTGGAACAATTTTTTGAGCGACGCCCGACCACGACTGTTTTTTTCGTCGGTGACATCGCCCTCCCCGTCGGGGACCTCGGACCCCTCCTCAGGCAAATACTGGGGCCAACACTGAGACTGATAAGCTCATGCAAATCTAAAATTACAATATTAACAAATGCATTTATTTAGTCTATCTATAGGTTAGATCTTGGAATTTCATAAAAAAAACTGTAAACAACACATACAAGTTATCTTAAGTGAATGATATGACTTATAACTTGAATCAAAAGACCCGGTATACCTGCTATAATAAAAGAGGCATAAATATTTTTCAAAGAAGTATAATTTAAACAACTTTTAAAGCAGACTTAAAAAAATATTGTATGGCCTGAACTTGACAAGACTATTATATTTTAAATTTTGGTCAGTTATAATAGCAGACAAGAAATATATCTGAATAAAACCACAACCGAATTCAAGCTGAACATTTAGGCTGACCTAACTGTTTTATTACAAAAAAAAAAAAAAAAGAGAGAGAAAAAAAAAAACTCGATACAAAAATGTTTGTGCACAATCTAACTTTTTCTAACGTATAATGTGGTATAACAGTAGGTGCAAACCAACAAATCTCTGGTAGTCGGTCGAGTGTAGTCGATACAGTAAAAATTAATGGACATTGTAATAATATCCACATGCCTAGATACTTAACGTACAGCATAGTCTTTGTGTAAAAAGCAGCGTTGAATCTGATCAGTTATACGAGTAGGAGCAGGAGATAGGCCTATAGCATACTACTGCTATACTACAGACTCTGAAGGGTATAGACGTTTAAAAATGCTAGGACACATATTAAGAC